TATATATACTAGAAGTATTGTAGTGTTGACCATAAAATGAGTCAAATAATCTCAAACACTTCTCTTACTATCATTAATTAGTATAATTAGGCTGTAACACTTATGACATCACCACATTTGTGATGCAATTAATTCATTTTTAAAAATATGAGCTTTCACTGTTTTTGTTTTCCTTAAGCTTTTCCATGCTACCATTTCCAGATATCACGATTGTTCTTCCTCGTTTAACTATTTTAGGCAAGCATTTCAGTTTAATATCTCGATTTCAATCTGCTATTGTTAGGAGGGCAGATGAAGAGCAGGCTGTTTTGTTTATTTGTGCATCTGCTCCCTTTTTCACCAATAATAGGTCTGATCATTTATGCATTCGTTTGTGCATTTAGAGCCTCCACTGTCCTACTCTCATTTTGTATCATTTGAAATAATAACAGAAAATATCACCCAAAGACCTAAGAATTCCCAGCATCAAAGGAGCAGTAATATTCACCTGAACACCGAGCTCTCCAGGTCAAACGGGTACTCGGTTATACCTGTCGTGGGAACTCGAACCCTCAGGACGTCTTGCTGGGTCGGCACATAAGAAGACTCAGCGATGCGAGCCAAATCACTCAGATAGCTAACGGCACAGGAAAGATGTAGCAGAGTCAGGTTTGAATGGAACAATTACTTAAGTGTGTGTGTTAAAAAGACAACTGGCAGGTTCAGATGAGTAAACAATCTGACAGGAGTTGTTAGTCTGTTTGCACTCACTACTTGGCTGAATCTGGGAGCTGGTATTCCCTCCTCCGGCTGTAACATTCCTGAATCCCCGGGTCGCTCCACAGGCTCTTCAAGGCATCCACATAAGGGTTTGTTAATGTTGTCATCTTTTCCACATCAACCCTGCTGACCATGACGGCACTGGCCTGAAACACATTGAAATTTATTTTGTAAAACCTGCTCTTTGTGCACATCCAACGGGTATTGTTTCTCCAAATAAGATGTACTTTCAGGGTCTGATGCATATCATCAATACAGGATGTAAACTACATTTCGCATAAAACAAGTATTTATATTTAACTAAAGCATTGCTTTTACGATTTAACTGGAAATTGACAGAAATGCAGCAGAACCTTTGTTTTTTTCAGATGGAACCACTGTTAGCTTGGTATTTAAAGGCAAAACAAATAAAATGACTTTAACTTGCACAAGACAATTCAAACTAAAAAAGGAGAAAAAATCAGTGAATGAAAAACAATCAGCGTGAATGCTGAGTTCTGAATGACTTTAACTGACAATGTTAAAACAAGCATAACAGAAGCTAAATGTAGCTAAAAGCTAATATTGGTAAACTTGTAACTTAATGTTGAAATTAACCAAACGGTTGGTAAACGATAACATCTGCAAAATTATAGGCAAAATGTGGCTAAATGCTAAAATTAATTAATTTGTTGCTTAATGTTGAAATTAGAAAAACAGTAGGTAAATGCTAACAAGTGCTAAACATGAAAAAAACTGAACATGAGGAAAAACATGAGGAAAAACAAAAAAAACATGAGGAAAAAAACATGAAAAAAACATGAGGAAAAACATGACTTAAAGTTAAAGTTAGCTAAAATGAGAGTGTGGCAAGATCATAGCTAAAATTGACAAAACAAAGCATCCTGATGCATCTCAGCAATCCAGGTAGAAAAAAATCAAAAAGAAAAAATAAGTAGGTCCTCTGGATGGGTTCTTCTTTAGTGAAACGTTTCATCTCTCCTCCAAGAGACTTCTTCAGTCTGATGAGTTTCAGGTGAACTCAGCCTTATAAGCACTGCCTCCACATGGTGGACAAAGAGGTTAGTCACATGCAAAAGAGGGCCATCGCCTAACAATAGGCTTGATTAGCTCTATTGTTCATAGAGGGTCATGTGCCCCATCACCTGACTTATTGGTTTGGATGCTGTGGTTATTAGGTGTTGTGTCATGTGTATGTAGTGACTGCAGGCGGGGCTCAACGTCCCCACAAAGCATTGTAGCTAAACACTATAAGGAGCAAGAGAAAAAAACAGAGCAACTATGCCAAATTGGGTTTCAGTAAAGAATGTGTTTGAAGGAGGAGATCCCAATGCATTTCTATGGAAAAAATTGTTGTAAATAAAGTGAAGTTATTTAAAGTGTAAACTACTAAAAGGAATTCCTAATTCCCAAGAGTTGGCAAAATAAATTTAAAAAAATAAGAATAGAGGTGCTGTGATCACTTCTTGGGTTTTGTAAAACTGATGTTGAGCAACTTTCTGAAGTTTATTGGCTCCTGATTAGCTGCTGGGGCTTTCAGCCTCCTGTATGAAGAACAGTGTAGTGTCTGTTTGTGACTAAAACCAACTACAGTCTGTTTACTCTCAGATACGTGGTCCAAAACATGGGGTCATTTTGTTCAGCTGTCTTAGTGCGCAGTGTGCCAAAGCAGAAGTTTTGTGGACGTTTGCATGTTTTCTTTCGCTCCTGCACTGATGGGGGGGGGGGGGGGGTAACCCTGTCATTATGCCTGTGTGCACATGCTGCTGCAGTGTGAGAAATTCCTGTGTTATGAAATATGCCTCAACGTGCTGTAAGGGTATTTCTTTGTAAAGGCAAGCAAGCAGCCCGCACCAACATTAACTCCAATCAAACCAATACAATAACAACACTGTTTGCTGAGTCAGGCATTTATCCACAATGCATAAATATAGAGGATGATTTATTTATTTACTTATTTATTCATTTAAAAATATTTACACCTCTTATTTTTCGTCTAGTTTTCAGACCTCCTGAAAATAATTCTTTCTTAACACATCTAAAGGTGTCTGCTTAGTTAAATTGTCATGTTTAGCTGGGTATGCCCTTAAATTTAGACAAACATAAAGCGGGCCAGCAAATGTGAGGTTGCCAGCCAAAGTGGCATCTGCTCCATGCAGATTTTATCAGCTCTCATTAAAAATTAGCTGCAGGCACCACTTTCAAAACCATTGTGTGGATGAGTTTTGTCATGTTTCCAGGATGTTTGTAAGAAGAACCTCCTAAAAACACACACACAAAAAAACATGCTAAATGACACTAGCATTCCTCGAAAGAATGTGTATCTCCTGACACTTTGTAAGTTTAAACTAAGATTTTAAAGGGGCAATATCATGTAAAATCAACTTTTTTGAGTTTTATATCGTGTTATAATATACTCTCATAAAAAACATGCCCAAAGCCTTACTTTGACTCATTCATGCATGTTTGAGAAATGTTTTTAGAAAGCCATGCTGAGGAGCAAAACGACAGAAACACCCCTGGGACGTGTCTTTAAACCGAACTTCCTCGTGGCAGAGTGCACCCCCTACCCCACACCCCACACACCCCACCCATGACTCCTGCAGGCTCTGGGGTGAAAGTGAAAGTGAAACCTAACTGTCTGCTGAGCTCTTAACATTAGTTCTCACTCTGTGAAGCTCTTTTCAGATTAAAAAATAACCTTTGAGGAAATGTATTTTCAGACGCCAAGTAAACTGCATCACGGCAGCCCCCTCCTCCCTCGCGACCCCACCCCCGCACTGAAATGGGCAAAACCGAAGCGGAAGGTGATTCTTAATGAGACCGAGGCCAATTTCAAGGCGTTTAGAATAGCAAGTGATGAGAAGATAAGTTTATTTTCTATATAAACATAAAAACAGCATTATAATAACAACTAAAGGTGACATAGATACTTTATTATGGCATAGTATTTAGATATATGCCTGAGAAACACATAATATTGGCCCTTTAAATAATTTATTAACACTCATATGTTAGAGATGACTCTCAGCTACTACCACATCAAGTTATACTGTAGCTCCATATCTGTACCATTGACTGAGTTAAATCCACTTTTCTTTTGGCTAAGATTAATTAGTGGCCTTCTTGAATTGGGTTGACTCCAAAAGTTAATTAGTTTCAGATGGATTCAAATATAGACAAGGAAGACTTGTCTATCCAGGTTTACATGTTCAAGCCAAAGTCTGATCTGGAGCAACAGGGGAATGAAGACAAAGAACCTGCACAAACAAACATTTGCAAAATTGGTGAGCTGGAAGACCATGACCTTGTTTAGCAGTTTTGCAGCAAAAACTGTGTTGTAATAGTTCAGAAAGCATAGTGGTAATGGGGAATAGAGAAAACTGAATGCACTGAAAAATGTGACCCGAACAGAATATAAAGATATCTTTACAGCACCGGGATAAACTAAATTCAACTTTTCTGCAGAGACTCCAAGTACACAACAAAATGCATCTTACAGCTAAAAAAAGCGGACATTGCACGTATCTAATTTAAAATGCCTTCATTGGTTCATGAGATATTTTGCGAACAGACACAAATACACAAACACAAAGAGAAACAGGCAACTGACTGTCCACGGTTCACCACAGTGCGTGATTAAAAAGTCTAAACTGAACATGCATATACAGTAAGCAACAGGCTTAGTCACCAAAACTCATTCAATTAGTGTTTCAAAACCTTTTGTTTGGCAATAACTGGTTGTTACCAAATTGTTTTAAAAAGAAAGTGAACATGGAAACATGCTCTGGTTTAGTGGCTCTATCCATGTTTGTTTTTTAAAACTCTTCTATCACTATCCACTGTGAAAGTGACAAAGACAGCATGTTTCCTAATGTTGGGTCATTAGACACCCAGTCTCTTACAATCCAAATTAATACCAAATTATTTCTGCTTTTGTGATGTTTGTTAACACAAAATGTCAGCTGTCGCTTGGAATCAGTTTCTTGTTGTGGTCATGCTGAGTATTTTCTGCAGTAGCCACAGATGTCCCCTTTTCATACATGATAGTGCACAATATGCTGTAGATATGTACTTTAATACCTTATTTACCTCTGTTATTTTTGTTCTAAATCTTCTAACAAAATTAATTAAAGAGAGGGTTTTTTTCTCTTTGATCACGCATACCATCATTGTTAATATTGCGAATCACACACACACACCATGCCTTTGAACATTTAAAAAGTTTCTGTTAGGAGCTCTCTGTTGGATAATGAGCTTGCCGCACGGTTGACAAAGGTTAGCCAATGGAAGCCTGTGATTATAGATATAATAATATATAATAAGAGACAGAGATCTGAAGAAAATAATAAAAGTCATAGCCATTAGTAATCTGTGTATGGTTCGTTCTTTGTTTTTTTCATTTCAAAATAAAATTCCAAAAACAAAACAATCGTGTGTTTTTTTTTCTGTTTTAAAAACGAAATTAGAAAAACTGCAATTGCTAAAATAAAAAAGGGGTATGTTTTTTTTAACTGCAATGGTTAAACCAAAGACAAGCTTTTACTTTTTGTTACTTCAACGGGACCTTCTGGTGGAACTGGAAATGACGACCTGAACTCTCAGCACATAACTTTTTTAGTTAGTACTTCCAAATCTGCCAGTTCAAAAATGGATATGTTTGTCTTATTTAGAGGGAATCGACGCATCTCATTGAGAGCTGATGATCTTACCGTCAACAAGATTTCCTTAATATTCCAAGTAAGTAATTAAAACATTACGTTTTATTAATCTTCCGTGTATGTTTAACAATAGTTTTAATAATTGTAAACCATGCTTCTTTGGCGACTTCCTTCATTTCTGGTGTCGCTACATGTTAAAACAACAACCGTATTATTATTATTTTTTTGATGGCTAAAGCAAAAATCAAATGCTGTTGATTTTCTATTAATTTGATTTTGCATTTTTACATTTAGGTTTTAAAAATGGAAAAACAAAAAAAAAACACAAGCTTGTTTTGTTTTTGCAATTTTATTTTGAAACAAAAAAAACAAAGAACGAACCATTCACGGATTATTAATCATAATATAAATGGACTATGAAAAAACTCATGACAGGCATTGTGAGCCTCTTATGCACTCTTTTACTGCAGCGTGTTGAATGGACAGACATTCAGTCTACTTGCTTCAGTGAAAGCAGTACACACACAGAGTGCATTTTTATTTTATCGATCCTGCCTCCTAAAGAAACACTCAGATGATTTTGCAGCTGCGGGGTGTGTCGGTAGTGGACAGGAGGCTGAGTGCAGGAAACTAGTGATTCACCTTTTGGCAACCAGTCAGCTTATTCTGAGCAGGACAAAGGAGGGAGTGAATTTTAGGCGGAGTTGGAGTGAGACAAAAAAAATCTAGGAGAGGAGGTACAGTACATACGGAGATGGACAACAGACGCCTGGGGGCTCACCTGAAGAAGAAACTAGACAGGAAAAGCAGCACTGACACTGTTTACAAGAAGGGAGACTCTACTTAAGAAGGAAGCTTGAACGCTTGCAGCAACATATCTAATATCAACTTGAAGTCTATAGTGGAGACAGAGCTTGTTGATCATAACCAGAGATTTAAAAAAGGAAAAAAAATCCTAACAATGCTGGAAAACACTTTGGATCCCTTAGAGTTGAGAGTAGAAAGATGAGGGTTGCACAACCTGCTAGACTTGATAAACACCTTCTACACAACAAACACAGGAAGCAGCAGATTGTCCAGTCAGGAGGTCATTGCTGCCCACATCATTCATCTGTAATCACTCTAAGGACTCATAAATGTTCGCTTCTGAAGGATGATAATGTTTTTTTTCTTGCCCACGTCTCTGTATGTGTGCATGTGTTTATTTGTCTGCAGTGTTAGCAAAATATCTCATGGATGAGACTCTCAGAAAGTAGGCAGTAGAGGTACATCTACAACTGATTAACTATCAATTCTATCTGACTCAAAATGGCCATCAAATCTAAGCAGCCTTAGCAAACACAAAACTGTAACTCAGCCAACTGTGCAGATATTAAACTAATATTTGGTGTGGTAATAGCTAATGTTTTATTCTTTTAAAACTGTATTTTAAACTGTTTTGTTCTTTAGTTAAAAGTCTATCTAGCAAATTGCGTTGCAAATTAGCCTGAGCTATAAATGTTTTAGCATACAGTCTTATAAATACTTGATACTTATACAAAACAAATGAAATTAAACAAACTTTATCCCCAAATCACTCCAAGCACATACATTGCACTTTTTTTGGCTTAAAACACTGGCATTAACTATTGGTGTCAAGCCTATTTGTCTGTTAGCAAAAAATCTCATGAACCACTGAATGGATTTTAATGAAACTCTCAAAAAAATGTAGGATGTACTGATCGACATTTGGAGTCAACTTAATTCAAGATGGCCGCCACAGATAATTGATCTTAACCAACAAAAATATGGCTATAACTCAGTCAAATGTAAAGATACTGAGCTGAAACCTGGTAGTAGCTAAGAGTCACCTTTAAGGCACACTTTGAGTGCTAACAGATTTCATAATATTACATGAGATCACACATATTTCTAAGGTTAGACCAAAATGATTTTAATTCCATCCCACGTGAAGAAATTTATTCAAGGAATGCTTCGCTTTTATTACTATTATGTTTACTCAAGTGAATTAAGCTTCTTTTGTGAAAATTACACAGTACAGATTGAAACACTAGAAACTAATATTTGTGTTCAAAATGATCTCTCTTATGACCAAAAGACCTTCATCACCTTCAAACTGATATCTGCATGCTGAGTTACAAATTCATCCTCAGTCCTCTGAGTTTCCACAGAGCCACATCTTCACTCCATGAAACAAAACCCCCCAAAAAATAAAAATAATTTAAAAAAATGAATCCTCATGCTGACTCAGACTTATCCCTCTTTGTCTGAGTCTCATCCAGACCCGGAGCTCTAACTGTTTAATCGAGGCATAGTTGTGTGAGGCAGCAAATATAAGAGAATAATGAGCTCCTGCCTTTGGTGAGACAGGTGCAAATTCTTGTACCATTAATGGGAAATTGTCTGTCTTTACAAGTCTGCAGTGAGCCATCATAAGTTCATCAAAAAGACAACCTGCTCTGTTAAGCAGACAAAAAAAAAAGTCTCTGGTAGCTCAATGGCAAAACTAAACAATGGAAGTTACCAGAAGTCCTTCACCCCTGAGAACACTGTAATAAACACTGCCTGCTCTGTAAGTAAACACTGCGCATGCTTCTGTGGGGACGATGTGTGGCAAGAACCTCTTTCGCAATTTGTCTGAGGGAAGTAGCGATGGAAAAGGAACAGAGAAACATTTGCGAGGCCTACCTTGTTGTGTTCATATTTGTAGGGGATCTGTAACGTGTTCATGGCTTGGATCATGGCCTGCATAGCTGTGAAGATGTTCTGGTAGACCAGTCTGGTGAAGGCTCTCCTGTCCTCCTCTGAGTATCCCCGGCCGTGAATGATCCTCATCTGTTTAATGAAAGTGCTCTTTCCGCTTTCGCCCGTGCCTGCATGGCCACCAAACCAAGACATAACGTCATTTCACATCTCAGCACGAAGCAAACATTAACATGATATTTGTGCATCTGTCTCAACAATAAAAGCCGTGTACTCTGTTTGAACTTTAATTAATTTGATCACTGTTTGACACCTATGATTCTGTAAGGAACTTACAACACTTCCTTTAAAAACAAAAGAATCGCCTGAAAACACTTTGAGTTTAAACCCGTGACTTCAGTCCACAGAGGAGTTCAGCAATTTTTATTTTTGTTAAACTTTAATGACAAATACATACCTCTACTAATTTCACTTAATATACATTTTTTAAAATGAAATTTATTTTTATTTAAAGTCTTATTTATTTTACATTAGATTTTAAATAAGAAAAAAATAAAGTAGACTGATTTTTTATGTTGTTGTTGTTGTTATTGTTTTTCTAATTGCTGGCTGTCTGGACCCTAAACTATTTACTGGCTTTCAGTAGCTGTGGCCCTCTGAGCAATTTACAGTAGTTAAATAGACTTGGGTTAGAGGGAAAACGTTTTTAAGTGAGTCCAGTTTTTAGTGGTCCAAAAGGTATTTTTGGACAAGAGAATCCAAATGTTGTAAAAACACAAGCTGGAGATGATTATCAATGTTTTTATCCCTCTTTAGCATTCTTCTATTTACTTTGTTTGGTCTTCTCTTTTCATCATATCTCCACCTCTCCAGGCTCTCTTCCACCTGCTCCCTACTGTCACTACAGACCATCTGCAAATATAATCCTTCATGGGGACTCCTTCCTGGACTCATCCATCAACCTGTTCATCACCACTCTGTCACTCCTACCACACATCTTACCACCTCTTCCCTACCTTTACACGTTCCCTGCATTACTCTCACATACGCAGACAGTGCAACTCCTTCTGATCTTCTCTATAATTCTCTGTCAACCCTTTTGAAGCAAACTTCTGATATGGTGCTATTTCTTGGCATTGGACCATATTGCGGTTCACTGATCGTCACCTCCTGTTTTATCCCGACTTGAGTAACTTTCGCCCATATTTTCATGGTGTGGTTCACCAACTTCACCCCTCACCACATAACAAAATTTACCTGGCCTAGTTCTGGCCCACACAAAGCGCTAGTACAGTAAAAAGTGACAGCCCTTTAGTGGCCCAGCTGTGGTTCGTCAGGTGGTCCATACATGAGCCAGCATCAAACAAACCGATTCACTGATTCACTAACTTTCTTCCACTTGTCCTTCTCTCCTATTTTATTCATTCCATATTTTTAGTACAATACAATCAATATATCATATCACACCATACTTAAAGGTACCTTGTGGTTCTTATCTTATAAATGTGCTATAAAACTATACTTGCTATTTCAGTTAATGAGAAAACCTTCCACAACATTCTGTGACAATACTAAGCACTGCACAAAAAGTAAGAAAATTTGTGTTTGGTTGATTATTTGTTTGTTGTAGAAATGCGTCTTTGCAATAAATCTGTTGGATTTAAATTGACTCACATTTGAAAGCAGAATGCATCTGTGGGTTGAGCAGCAGAGCTCAGTATGTGGACTGCGAACATGAGAATTCTTCTCTACTAATGCCAAACAGCTTATTCTCCATCTGACTCTTGGTTTAAGCTTCTGATAACCCAAGCACTGACATTCAGGTACTTAATTGGCGCCTGATAACGAGCAACCAACTGTAATTGCCTATCTCCACAGTCTGGGACCAAACTCGGTCCTCCAAAATGACAAAGCCTGCCAAAGCCTCCAGATGTAGGAGTGGAGAGGATGCACTGCTGTCCTCACTTCAACCCCATTAAACACATCCAGGATCAGCTTGGGTGTGCAGGTCTTTCCAAAGTGAGCAACACAACCACACTGGCTGACTTATAACAAAGGCTGATTAAAGAATGAGATGGCACCCCACCGCAGTGTGTAACCCAAACCGGTGAGTAGCAAGCATCAGTAAGACATACCAGGCTGTTGTAGCTGCGTATGGTTCTTCCACGTGTTCTTGAAGCCCTTGCTCAATAAATGAATAAATAAAATGAATAAATCACTAAATTGCCAATATGTTTTGTTTCTTCAGAGTTTATTCATACAACCCAATAAACAATGCCAAACTAGAGTCAATAGCAGAATAAGCTGTTTGGCATTGGCAGAGGAGATTTGGCAAGTTTTTCATGTGCGCAGCCTACAAACTCAACATGCTCAACCCACAAATGTGTTTTCCACATAAATGAGGCACTCTTTAAGCGATATAAGATTTATTGCCATGAAGCATTGTTACAACAAAAGAGCAAACGTTCTACTTTTTGTGCTACGTTTATGTTTCAGTAATTTGGCAAAACCAGTTAAGTGGAACAATCTTAAAAGGGTAATATTATGTGTTTCTCAGGCATATATTTAAATACTATACCATAATAAAGTATCTATGT